AGGGTAACTCAGCACTCGTTTCATGTTCATAACGCACCGTGCAAAGATAGAATGAGAGCATATTCGGTTCTTGAATCAGATGGATCTTATTACACCTTGAAAACAAAAGCAAGTCACAAAAGCAAGAACAAACCACAGTTTGGATGAAGCCTGGACTAAAAACAGTAAGTAAAAACCGCTTTCAGTTACATCGTCCCTCATACACACGACAGGTACCTGACTGTTCAATATCAAATTTATGCTAAATTGTTATCATCATGCTAAATAATTTGCAAGTTTAGCTATTGTTTCGCTGAGCAGTCAAACTTTATACTGAATGGAGCTATACACTTTACTTTCTTTATGGATCAGTCCAACCACGCTTGTTATTAACACGTTGCTAAAAAATTATGCATTTAGTGACAGGTGAAGTGTCAGAAAGTCTTTAAGTTAAGGTTACACTTATTAAACGCAGCTGCCCTTTTATAGTGTAAATTGAAGCACTGGGCCTAAGGGTAACGAGAAGTTTACCATTTCAATCGTTGGCAGTTTTTAGCGTTTTTGTAGAAATTAAGATGCCGTTATCGTAACTAAACGATGTAGCCATAATATGAGACCCCCGACCTCCTCTCGTAAATCCGTAATTGTATAGTGTGTTGTTGCATTGAAAGGACAACATGCTATTTCATGCATGCGGAAAACCTCGGTAGAAGAAAGGACTTTGAGTATCCGTCAATAAACATTCACAGGAAAGTATTTACATTACCATTTGTTCATCTAATAATTCAATAAATGGCGGGTTAAAGTTATGGAATACGTACAAATTAAAAATCTTTTCTTATTTTCTATTTTTCTGTAGTTTTATTTTATTTTTTTTAACAATTTCAATTTGTTGCACAGAAGTTCTTGTCTACCGAGGCGTATATGGAGAGGTACATAGATGGATTGGCAAGTGGAGTTTAAGGTACTTCAGGTAAAATGTTGTTTTTCAAGCTAGCTTTCAAACTTAAAGTTTCTACTTGATATCACATTTCGCCTGGAGGAATTTTTTAACTCAGCCCTGAAGTAAGCCAAGATAATAATGCAAACGAACAAAAGAAGTCCAAAAACATTGAATGCAAAGATATTTAGAGGTCAGTCACAACGGTATTGCGAAAAAAGAAGTTAAGCTAAACATTACATGCTCGTAAGATTTTTTTCATGTAAAGCTCTAAAGATTGTAACTTAAATGTAATGTAAAGATTGGAACATAAAATATTGCGAATGTTAATATTACGAAAAAGTGATTGAGAGACAGTTAATGGTTGAACGGTACAGTGCGTGAGATGAATTGAACGTAAAGCCAATACGATTCTCAGCAGGACATACTGATCTGTCGATATTCGATGGAAAGAAGATGATGTTACTGAGCCGTTTCATAAATTTAAACACCTGACCCTCAAAATAAGTAATCTCTTATAAACCGCTCAAAAAACATCTCAACACTTTTCCTCTATGGATGCATTTTGAATTTTTGTTATTATTCTAAGAGCCTGTGCTTAATATGTTAAAAAGGCGACTGCCAAATCTTAATTGAAATTCAAAACTACCAAAGTGGACGAATTTACCTCAAAGAAAACTGAATTTAGCGTCATGTAGCACTCAAGCGAAAGTCACCAAACTGTGAAACTCACCGCACTTCTGGTTTTTCCTCGTCCTCACTGCATCGTCCCTCGCTTGTGCTTTAATAAAAGCCTTCCGGCAGTAAATATAAAAGAAGGTGTTGAAAATGTTTATTTAGTAGGCAGTAATTGATATCACGAGACACCTCTTTGTTATTTGAGTCGTTGAAAATTTATTTATTCTGTACGATTCCCAGTATGAAACACGACCAAAAGGTGCCACTTTAACGAATATGATCTCAAGTAATTTTCACCGGTTGGGTTCACGCCGTGAAACGTTTCAATTGTGATCAGTTAGGAATCTTTCATATTAGCCAGCGGGCAAAAGATTATTCCTTACACAAATTGACTTTGCTATTGGGTCGCGACTCTGTGCCAAGAAATTGATATTGAAATCTTTCATTTTGCTTGACAACCACGCGACCACCTCTTCCCGTTCATTGTGACATAAATGGTGGCCTTTTTCAGGGAGAATTAAGACTTTATCGCAATACTTCAAACGTTGTATTACTGAAAGACTAAGTTTTGAATCCGTTGGAAATCTTACTTTAAAATGGCCTCAGGCGAGAGGCCAGTGGTTTTCTGTGAAGCATTTCATATAGCGCTCAATTTACAATGGTGATTCATTACAAGCGTTTATTCCTATTCAGAATCGTCAAAAACACTCGCGTCAAATCACATTACTACTCATTTCTCGCAGCCAAAACTTAACCTGATGAGATGCAGAATCATTTAGTTCTTGATTGCGTGTGATCGATGTATTCAATACTTTGGTAACTTCGTGACGCTGTTCAGCCCCATTAATTTGACGCCTTGCATTCGATGTGGATAGGTTCACTGATTTTTGCCCAAAAGGAACCTTAAATACGCGAGAATGTTCACACATCAATATGACAGTAATACTTCGCCTCCAAAAAACATTTTTGTTCTTAAAAAGATTATTTTCGAATAATAAAGGCTTCTTATTACGCAGGAGCTCTTGAAAAACCTTTGCGAGTCTAACGGTGACAAGCTTTGATGCACGTTTCTGTTCCATTATTGTAATGAATATTACATGTCTCACACGTAAGGCCAAAGCTAATCGTCCCCTCTATCAATATCCAATTTTCACAATAATGCATTTCATTTCTTTTAAAATGACTGGAGACCATAATTCTTAATTTTTCTTTTGCGAAAAAATGTGAATTAAACTAGCACTTTTCATCTCTGTTTGGAGGTTGGTCCAAATTTAACATCCCTTTTATTCCAGTAGTATATTCTTATAATTTACATGTAATTGTTTTACCTCTCCATTACTGATGGTTACTTTAGATCCTCCTTCTTTCTTTTTCTGTTTTGTTTTAAAGAGGAAAGACTGTATTTTCAGGATTTTTAAATTTCCCTCACTTCATTGTTTCGATGGCTCAGCCTTTACCAATCAATCATCGGAGGCCTCAGTTAAGGTTTGGAGATCCTCAGTTAACAGTTAGGAATTTACTTCTAAAGAAAGATAAAAATGAAGTTGTTGTTGAACTTGTTCATTTAAATGAGCGCAATGAAAGTTGGCCAAGAACCAAACCTTGTGGATCTCTATATGTTAACTTTCAAAGAAAGGCTTTCTTCGACTGGTGGTTTTGAATCGTACAATTTGACAATTATTTCTGAGGTTGCTCTTCGTCAGAGCGAACAAGAAAGGGTCAACGCTCAAACGTCCGCTTTATAACTCTCTACGGTGGCCAATTTACATTATCAACTCAGCTAATTAAAACCAAATTATTTTGTGACACCCCTATAGATGCAGCACCACAGATTCTTTAGAAACTTACCCCCTTTAATTTTTGAGGTAATTTTAGGACCAATCTCGAGCAATACCTCTTATTCCATAATGTTTTAATTTCGCAATTAGTTTGGGATCTGAACTTCCTTAAATGTGCTAGATAAGTCTTAAAAGATCCCTGCTGTTAGCCTATTTTCCTCAATTACATCCCGTAATTTTGGTGTCGAATCCACAGAGGTCCAAATCCTCTCTGTTTTCAATATGGAATACTGTGTTTCACAATGTACCTTATCAATCGTTTTTATGCATTAATTTTTCTGTTATTTTCAGAATAGCAGTGCAGCAATTGGTTATAGTTTGAGAATGATTTATCATCATTTTTTAATACAGTGATAAGTGAACTATTTAGTCTACCAGGAATAATACCTGTTTAAAATGATTTATTAAAAATCAAAGGGAAGTGGTTTTTTTGATAAGGGAAGCTATTTATTGAATTTGGGCTTCATACCCAGCACATTAACTTTAATTTAATTTCATTAATTCTCGCTCAACTTCCTCTTTGCTTAGAAGGTCAACAGAGAACATTTAGGTTAAGTCTCTTTGAAGAAATACTGGAAATGCGTAATCTTCGATTTGGAATTTTCGTTAAAAAAAAAGATTTATTTGTGAAGTTATTCAGTAAATTTATGCGTTATCTTTGCAGGAACTGATCTGTCTCCAAGTTGACGCTACAGAAAACACCATGTGTTTTGATTTGAACTTTGTTCTAAACCATATCAAATATTGTTTCTTTTAATGCTTTTTTCTTTAGTATACATATCAGATGGTTAAGTTTTGCTTCTACATTGTGCCTCTGAGTGATATTCTTGTTGGTGTGGATATATTATAACGAAAGCAGTTGATTCGCACAGTTGTTAGCTCTAGTGAGTTGATTTATCTCATGATGTTGAAGTCTTCGAGTGATATATTTGTTGGTGTGAATATATCATAACGAAAGCGATTGATTCGAACAGTTGCTAGCTCTAGTGTGATTTATCCATGATGTTGCAGTCTTCCAAGAGGTAGAATATTTTGTTTCTCCTTTGATCAAGCAACTTTCCTGACAGTTCTTCCAAATTCTTTTGAAATATGGGTGCTGTGCGGACATAATTTAAAAGTACCACTCTCTTATCGCTGGTTTTCAATTTAGAAGCCATTGTCTCTATATTTACGTTCTCTCTTTCAAGACTGAAATGCAGTATTTGAAAAATCTACGGAGCTAATTTTAAATCGTTGCAATAAGACATCTATACGATGCTTGTTAGGAGTTTTGGCGTTTATTGTCGCTAATATTTTTGCTCGTTGTTTTTATTTTTGATAGCCCTGCGGGCCTCTCAAAATACGGCACAACTCGTAAAAATACTCAACGATACTACACATCAAAACATCAAATAAGATATATGTATCCGGACCGTCTAGCTCACTCTCCATGAAATCGGATAATCGAGGTTCCACTGTACCGATTGGTGCCCGCAGACATCACTAGGGGACACATGCTGTTACGAAAACTTTGCAACTTGTGAAGATACCCCACAAAGTCACCAATATTGACTGTTAATTTCGTATTTAGTTCGCAAAACAACATAAATCTTCTGTTTATTGGCAATAAAATGCCTATGAATTATTCCTTCTGTACATCACACAAACGAAAATAGCAAAGTTTACATATGTCCTATCACTTCACTTTGATAAAATTGTCTTAGGAACTGCGTTGTTTTTTAAGTACATACTTGTCTAAACTGCCTTTCCGTAAAATGGAAACAAAACCTCTGTTGTTGAGAATTAGCTACAAATATCTGTCTTTGTTCGTGACGCGTCAAAATGTGATTTACTCTGGCTGACTTTAGTGTAACAGTAAACACGGAGATTAACTAATCAACACAACATGAAAAAAAAATTCCAACCGTCAGCAGCAAACTATTAGAGGAGAAAAAAAAACACTTAGTTGTGAATAGTGAGTATCCGCTTGTCATGTAGTCTTACAGTGATGATACCTATTCTGAAGTAGTCTTGTCATGGCTACTTGACGTCACTTCCTGGTATATCAACCCATACTTTGATAAAAACGAGTCATAAATTATATTGCAGATTATTCTTAATGTTAATATTAGTGTCAATGAAATAAACTGATAAAATGCAATGGATACATAACTAAGGAAGTCATCTAACACTTAGTATACACTAACTAAAAACTAATAACTTATTTTGCTTGAAAATGAAAACAATTTGCACCAAAAAAAAAAAAAAATCAAAAGTCAATCAAAACTCTCCATACAAAAATTGTGGCAAAAAATAATCTCAACTAATGCTAAAATTCATGAGTACTACATAAGAAGTATGCAAATGAAAGTAAACATAACAAGAAAAAGAACTATAACAACATACAAATTTTGTATAATTATTGAGCGATGGTGACTTACTAATCAATTAGTCACCAAGCTTTTCTATGAACTTGAATCAACAACCAAAAAAATGAAAAGGAAAAGTGATAACCAAACAATGCCTTCATAATCCATACATTACAAGAGTAAGCAAGTTGAATGACAAAGAGGAATATGGTTAGCATTACTCTATCCCCTCAAAGGCCACCCAACATCAAGGGACAGTGTAGCAGTGTTAGGATTGGTGAAGAATGACTTCGCTTTGGCTGCAGTCTGCTGTGATAACTATCGTCATAACCTAGACCAGCAATTCAAGATGACATGGTTCACAAAGTGCATCACAGAAACATGTGAATCTGCTCTTAAAACAAGCTTCACGCTCTGACAGGGTTTTTTTTTAAAACAAACAAGTATAACTTATCATGCTTGTCATAAACGCATAAGTTTACATACGTAAAATCTGAGATGTTGACACTAAAGTTTCTGTAGTTTTAATAAAATATCCTTCCCCCCCCCAACCCCCGTCATTAAGGCTTGGAGCTTGTATGTAGCCTTAAATTCTGTGTGGTTGGGAAGCAGAAATGCTTAAAAAAGACCAAATATCCCCTAAAACAATGTGTTAAAGCAGAAACGCTTAAATGTTTAAATAAGACCAAATATCCCCCACAACAATGTATGGCCCTTATTGGCCTCTTTAGTTTTTGAACAACAGGGAAACATCAGTTCTTAAAATGTTCACTGTCTTGAGAGGAGGAAGATTTTCCTTAACATTGCCCTGAACCCCTTTTTATCTCAAGTCAATGTTTTCCTTGTATATAATAATTCTTAACTATAGCCTTTTTCATTAAGCCTGATGGTAACATGTACATTATCAACACTTTGGGAGTGTAATCACCATAGCTGCAGAACCAGTAGCCCCCTTGGTTTAACTGGAAGTGAGCTTTTAAAGTTTTTCACTTTAATGTTCAAATTCAGAGTTATCTGTTGAAAACAAGCAGGACACACTGAGTTGAAGATTTTTCTGTTTAATAGCAAGGGCTTGTTATTTTAAATTACTGTATAAAGACTGGTACGGTTTTGGCAACAATTTTTTACAAATGGATTTTAAGATTTGAATTTCAGTGTTAAAGCCTTAACTGTTGAATCTGTTTACAAAAAAAACATCGTTTACATAGAATGCCTGGCTTATTCAAAGATGGTAGAGAACCTTTTTAATATCAGAATCTAAACAACCAGCTGTGGGATTTGGTATAATTTTCATGAAACAGCACATTCTTTTATTAGTAATAATACTGAACTTGAGTTTTTCCAAAAAATTATACTATCTGTGAACAGCAAAGATGAAAAGAGTTAAAAAAACCCTAGGAAGGGCTTTTCTTTGTTCTGGATTACCAGTATCTCACCTATGCCTCTTAAGAATATTTTCCAAAAAACACAGCAATGTAACTTGAACTAGTATATAAAAATAACACATTTGCTATAAGCTTTTCTAACTTTACACATCCAGGAATTTTCTTACATTTTTTCTTAAAACATAGTATTCAATGCCTTAAGCTTGGCTTAAGCTTCATGGTGATTGGTCAGCTGGTGGCCTCAACTTCCCTTGAGGATTTCTTGAGACTAACTCTCATGAACTCTGGTTTTGTTGCTTCTGTCTCTTTCTGCTTTTCAAAATCCTTGAGAAAAAGAAAATAATAATTTTAACCCTTTAACCCCTAAGAGTGACAAGCATCTAATTTCTCCCTTCAATATCACCCCTGAATCACACATTAGGTCACAAGAATAGAGGAAATGATCACCAACAAAAGCAACTCTTAATTGTTAAACAAATTCTCCAAATTCTCCTCATCAGCACCATAGAAAATGTATAGAGAACAGTATGAAGAATATACATACTGATGTTAGAGTATGGAGAGTTAACCAACAAAAATGCATGAATCCTATGTACAAACTTTACAACAATGTGCTAAAAGAATATAGTGGATAAATTGACCATCCTCTCCTCACCTCTTGTTTCTGAGAGATACTGCGAAATCTGGATTCCAGTTCACTGTCAACACTACTTTTACCCTTTTCAGCTTTGGCGGACTTTTTGTGTTCAAACTTTTCCCATGTTTTCATAAGTTCGGGTCTTCCCAGTTGAATACCCCTAAAGGGAGGAATTACAATCATAATTCAATTAACCCTTAATAGACACAATGGAAATGAAGTAGTGAACAGCAATTTTGTCTGGAGAGAGTGGATGAGGAATGCCACCTTAAGGATATTCAATGTCAAATCTGTTGACTATTTATGGTTAATTTTGTAACAGCAACTTTAATTTTTGATCAGAAAGACATGCCATCCCAGTAAAAGAAAATCTTGGTGTTTTAACCAAGGTCACTATGAGCTTATGCTCACTAGCTATTGGTTGAACAATTCTTATTTGTCAGAAGAAACTAAGCTCCACAAACAGTACTAGCTATTGACCATTACTGATGTTTGGTATATAAAAGTAAGCTTTCATCTTTTTAGATGCATATACAAGCTATTATAATGTATTATCAAAAGTTGAATTAAACAGGTTTAATGATTACCACATGCATACTACTTGTCATTTTCAATTAACAGTATGACAGAACAACTGTTACTGTGTTTGGAACTTTCAACACCTTCTGGTAGATAATGTTAGCAGGTGGAATAATATCTTTAGTCTTACACTTAAATTTTTTATAAGACTTTGTGCTCAATTATTACTAAAGTACTCAAACCATGTCAAAATAACCTACCTTTGCTGGCTAAATTTAAGGTCTTTACGTAATTCATCCTGTTCCTTAGAGGCAGAGTGTGGTATGACAGTCCTCTTTAACTCAGGAGTTGTGGGGGGAGTTTGTTTTCCATCACCCAAGTAGTCTTCTTTAGGGTACTTTGGATGATTCCTTCCTTTAAAACATCAAAAAGTTGTTTTTTGGCCATGAATTACTGGCATTTTAACAAAGAGTTAGGTGTCCAAGAGTAATCAACTGGTTTTCTACTTTGATATACATGAATACTTGGTACAGCACAGTCTGTCAAGGCAACTTGATTTCAGATTTTGAGACTGTCCCTAAAAATTTTGCCACAAGATATTCCCATAGCATTAGGATATTAAGGTATCATAGACAAAAAAATTATTTTTCAACTTCCTGAATAATTAACATCATCTAAAGATCTATCAACTTCTGCAAAATTTATTTTGGCATCTTTTTTTCTTCAGGAGATATAAAGCAAAATGTAATTTGAGAGTAGAATGGAAGGCGTGAGATTGATGACACTTCATCATGTCAACTTCATCTCATCACCTAATTAACAATTTCTACTAAAGATTACAATCCACACTGTACAGGGCTCGAAATTGCGACCTACACCGTCGCCAATGGGACTAAATCTTATAACTTGGCGACTAAAATTTCAAGTTTAGTCGCCACTTTGGCTACTATGTTCCTCTGATAAATAAAAGATTAACAATTTCCTCAGTCTTGTTTCTGCTTTTCTGCAAAAGGAAATGCAAATTTAGTCTGTTTACCTTAAGGTTAAAACTTGAAATCACTTCAAGATTGCGACTTCTGAGACGACATCACAGTGGCTTCTACATGGTAACCGCAGGCGAAATATTTTTTTGAAAGGCTGCTGAATTTAAAAGCGTTCTGTAGCAGATTCTGTCACAAGGAGCCGGCTTTCAAAGTAATAGCTTTCTTTCACCATGTACACAATCAAGTCAGATGAGTCTACACCAAAAGTCATGAATTGTTTATCACAAGAGAAGGATACACTGAGTGATTTTTGTAATTTGCTGCAGTCTTGAAATTACCAGGAAGCAAGATCGTTGTCAGTATGCAAACAAGAAGCGTTTCAAAGCCTTTCAAAAACGTTTGTTTGGAGCGTGAATCTCATGCAGCAGCTACCAGAGGATGTTTTTCAACGTGTTTAGTTCCAGAAGCCGAACAACTATGTCAATTAAATGGGGCTCTAATCTGAGCTTCTGTTCTTGTACTATCTGGCGACTGCATTTTTGCATTTGGCGACCATTTTTTCTTTGATGGTTGCCAAAAGGTGACTTGGAATTTTTTTATAGTTTCGAGACCTGCTGTACAGTTCAAAAATTGCTAATTCATTATCAAGTCTCCCAACACTGGTTCCTTTTGAAAGATAGAGAGATTGTTTAAGTAATTCAAGTGTTGTTTTCAAGCTTTTATCATGTCCAAAAGTGACAAGTCCCTCATGCCATTCTAAAAAAAGGAAAATTTATTTGCAGTTTGCATCGGAGTGGAAATATTGTTCACTGATGGCCATAGGGGTTCCTACTAGACTTAAGAGATTCAGTGGCCAGACCCTACTTCTATTGAAGTTGCTGATGGTGTTAGTTTGCAAAAAATATCACAGACAGCCCATTGTCATTTGCATAGCATTGCACTTTGATAATGGATCAATGAAAAGCTGTGACATTGTGCAGCTCTCCTTTCTCTGCCTAACCTCTTTCCTCCTCTTTCTGCTGGTTGAAGCACCTTCCACATTGACACAAATGACTACATATTCACTTATTTAAAACCTTCTCAACCTAACTCCTTACAAATTGTATTTGCTCTTTGTCCTCTACTGTAGGATGCATCATTGCTGACAGGCAAACAGTGTTAAATGACTTCATAGGTGTGACGTGGAAAGGCATTTATGTAAACAAACACTGATGCCCCAAAACAATTCAAGTGGCTTTTGTGGTTAAGTGTTTTGGCTCCGCTTCTTATATTTGAAGAGTTTGTTCTTGGCTGATATTCAGTCACTTTTCGTGAAATGTGGAGGATTGTGTTGGGAATATAACGAACCCTAAAAGTATGTCCTGGATTTTCAATTTTCTCCTCCTTACTTGAGATATAGTGTCCACCATAAAAACTTTGCTCAAAAGCTCTTGAAGTTAAAACAATGATAAAAAAAATTAACAAGGCTTTAAAATAAAAATCCCAGACAGACTTTTTTAGTTCAATATGTAGAGATCATATTCTGATAAAAAAGAAACATGTTGATCAAAACATGTTGTCAAATTAAGTTATCTTGTAAAACATCTCGGGGAGAACGAATAAGCTCCTAATCTGTTCAATGGTAAAAAATTAGAAAACAAATATTCAAGAGCAGTGTTCATAAAGCTTTAAGAAAATGTATTTCTTTACAGGGTTAGCAAACATAATTGTCATGCTATCTCAGTTTGAATGAAAACTTTGATTTTCCTTCTGTGATACCTTAATAACAATTGCCATGCCAAATCCACTGTATTAAACACCCAACCTTTGGCCAACACATGCCAGTAAATCTTTTGACTACACAGAGGGAGAGTTGGTTTTTGCGTGCTATGAATATAACTGGTCAGAGCCTAGAAAAACTGTATCCAGCCTCTTTGAGCAGAGTTTCAACTGTAATAGGTGTTTTTTTAAATTTGAATTCAAACTGGCAGTTCTTGCAAAACCAACAGACACATGTACACTGTGCTTGTTTTGTACAAGTAAAAACACTTTACCTGGATGAGGATTTTGCTGAATCTTTGCTGTGAGCTCACATAAGGCATCCATTTTGATTTTCTCTTGTTTTGAAGACACATCCATATGGTCTAATGTGAGTGGATCGATAACTGCAGTACACTGCAAAGCAAAGTTAGACAAGTACCAACATCAACCAAATAATGATCTGCATAAAATATGATACTTAAAAGATTTAAGAAACTTTAAACTCTTCTTGGTGAATGCCCTTTCAAGAATTAGCATATAAAAGACAACTTTCTAAAAGTAAATTTAAAAGACAATAAAAAAAATACTTGTTATAAATATTTAACCAATGGAAGTGACACCGCAAACACTAAATCTCAGAGCCAAATGGCCACTGAAAGTATTTCTTTTAAATTAACCCTATCACATCAGATCTCTTCAGAAAACAAATGGCAGAGTAAACTCTGACATTTAAGGAAAGGCGCGGCAAAGAGAACCAAGTGACATGTAAGAGGTGGTCATTAGGTCTAATTCTGTTGTTCAGTAAACTAGAATAAGCAATACAAACACTTTAAAGAAGTGTCAATTGGTATTTGGCACAAACAGGACAAATTGAAATAACAAAACAAATAGTAAACATCAGGCAAGTTGTTCAGAATTCCAACTGGTGGGAGATAAAACCAGTCAGCTGTTTACAAAGTCTTTCTAAGACATGAAAAACAAATTCGACTGGGCAGCAGGGCAGATGAATTTAACTTACAACCATCAGATTACGAATCCAACATGTTAAACTTCTTGTTCAGACTACCTTAATGACAGGGGTTAAAACAGGGATGATATAGGTGCTTACATTGAAGGGAAGTCAACTACTTTGTGGTTGACAGTACAGTATGGTCTGAAGACATAAACGTCAGTTTAAAGAGATTTAGGTATGGTCTAATTGAAAATTATATTAAGAAACTCAAAACCACAGAATATAAATTGAATAATACTCAGATAAAGTAAATTTTTTTAAAGGGATGATGAAAAATTGTGTAAATAACTGAGAGTACATGTGATTAACATTAAGGCTTTGAGCAATTCTAAGAATATTACTAGACACGTTTTGGAAACAAACCGTGAAAGAGCTATTTAGCCGACTATCTATTTGAAAATGTTCATTTGGTGGTTGACAATGTTGTGAAAAAAGTAGCAGAGAGGCACACTTCACTGGCACCTGCCATGAACATCATTTAAGAAAATAACCACAATGGTAAACTTAATGCTATATTTTTAGTAAATTATGCAAAACTGCGACTTTGAGTCACTTATGTGCATTTACAATAATTTTTTTACCCTGTGCCTCTGTAAATAAAAATATAAGCCGATAAGGTTCATTACTCAAAACGAATTTACGGGGTTAAACACATTGTCTATCTCTTACATAGCTCGAATACTTGGAGAAATTATAGCAAAAAAAACGGCAGCAAGAAAAACAACAGTTCTCGGATGTTCAAAGAAAACTGCGCACCCTTGTGGCTGACAGATTGGTTTCTACTCCGTGCAGCTGAAAAAAGCGAACAACTGATAAAGCATTGCAGAAACCCTGTTGTGATCGCTGTCTGTAACTCGTGTGCACAGAGGGTCTGCTTCGTAAAAGACCTCGAAACTAAAGCACTTTCGACGTATCTCGCGACAACTTTGAGAGATTTTCCGGAAAAAAAAAAACCCGAAGGTACTACCACGTTGAATTACCGTGGTAAAACGGCGGTCAAAAACATCGAAGGCTCTATTTTTTTTTTTAAAACCTAATCTTGTTTTTGTTAGCTGTACATCTAATTATCGGAAATTTGAATTTCAAATGCGCGACCGCGAATTAAGAACAACAAGTAAACCTCTAGAAAACAAAAGCGCTATTATCGAAATTATCAGTCGAAAGTTTAAAAAGCAAAGGAATAGAAACACGGTTCGAGATTTTGAAACCATTCTAGTGACTACCATCCCACTAGAAAGCGAAATTTAGGCGATTTGTAATTCCTAACGATTTCACCGATAGCGAACATTTACGTTTGCAAAATTTTGTTTGAAACTCGCTTAATCTTGCAATGGAAGTCACTACCCTGTAAAACTTACAGCATAACGTCAAGAAATAAAATAAATTTACTTTACAAATAAAAATTTCCGAGAGAAAATATGGCTTCGAATCGAACGACGCCCAGTGACACTCAGAGTTCATAACATGACAGTTCGAATAAATTTCTTCCTACAATGTTGAACGAAGAAAATATATGATAAAATGAGCAATATACAAGATTGGAAAATATTAGATTGATTCAGAACTATAATATTTAAAATTACGGTGAATAAAAATAGATAGGGCGCTTCCTTGATGCTGTCGAAAAGCCACAGGAGCAGAAGAATCTTACGAAGAGTACTTTCCAAACACCTGTAAACAAATGGGTCTTCGCCCTTCTTGCTAATTTTAAAGATGACATCGAGTTCTCACAAAACTAAGTCAGTGCGACAAGTTTTGCACTACTAACCTTGAAAAAGAAGTAAAATTCTTGCTTGAAGGTGCGAACTAGAAACTGGTCAAACTTTTACGTTGCAAGTTTTCCTCCGGCGATTGAGCAACAACGGACATAACAGTGTCAAAAGTGAATACTTGAAATGAAGTCGCGCGAGAAGTACTGGGCGTGATTCCTAATTTGGTGAAACGCTCATAGCTATTATTGTTGTGCTAATGAAAGAGACAAATGAACAGTAAAATGGCAGTACACGAATCAGAAAAAAAAAACCAAAAACAAAAACAAAAACAAAAACAAAAACAAAAAACAAAATAAAATCTAAACTCCGTGGAAAAACCCAACTGGGAATCAAAGCGTGGCGCAGTCGCAATACCCGGTTAGATAAGAAAAGATTGATTTTTCTCTTTGTCGAACTGTTTCCTCATCCATACGATCAAAGGAGGTGTGGCCTTTCACATCACGGAAAAGAAGATAAATACCAAGTTTCGGGATAATTTCCAAGGTCAAATGCATGTAAATGCTCTTCCCAATTTAATCGTGTACATCAATTTACTGTTAGCAGTTGTGAATGTTTATAAAAATTAAGCTTTTAGCCAAAATCGCAAAATTATCGTAGCTAAGCAGTCATTTCAGATTCTAAAGAATCTGTACTCATTCATATTTGAAAATTGGGTACACCTGTATGCAATATCAAGTAGTGAATTATCTAGGAAAATAATTAATATTCAACGATCGCAAACGTTCATTACAGCCAGGAGAGCACTGCGGAAATTAGCGCTAAACGCCGAAGAAATTTGACTGTCAAGTCGTTAAGGATCTCGTATTTCCACAGGACAATTACCAGCTAACTGTAACAAAATGTAAAAAAGGAATTTGATTTTTTAAACTCAAAAATAACAGCGCTTTCATGAGAGGCTAGCCAAGGGGTAAATTTCAGTCAGATTAAGAAGTAATTGTTGCCGACTAATTTTCCTTAAACAAACACGCGCACAATCATCAGAGTAAATAGCCGATCGCTTCAACAGTTATGACACAATGATCGATTAACATTCGAATTTAATGCAAACGTAAAAAGGTACCTTCTCCTGGAGAAGTATTTGTAGATGTACTTTAAGTCACAGCTGTAGCTGAGATAAGTAGAGTAAAACTAGTAACACTAAATTCATCGCACGTCGAAGCCCCACTCGCACTTGAGGCTTCCATCACGTTATATCAAATGTTACCTCCTTTCAAACGATCGATTACACCAATCTACTGGCGTTGTATTTTTTATCATACTGGTAAGATATTACGAGTCTGCGTCGAGTATATAATACAAAGATTTCGATTTTTCCACGTAGATGCAGACCATCGAGCCTTGTAGTTTAAAGTAGTAAGGCTTATCACTGGCGACTACTCGCGCAGCCAATATATCTTACGGCGAAAGTTACGTTGCAGAACGATGAAAAATTTTTCGTTCATAATTTTGAAGACACGAATACCTTGAGCGAAGCTAAAAGCAGTGTGATGTTTAGAGCATTCATTCGGGCGGAAGCAATTTAACGATGTCGTGATTACCCCTAAGTAGTTACAGGGGGAACTCTCGATTCGCACAGTTTCCGCTCGTGTACAGCACAACCACCGATGTATTTATGTTAACAAAGAATAGTTTGCGGTTCTGAACTGTTTTGAGTGTAAACACTCTGATCCTGGACTACATCATGCCACTAATGAATAGAAATATATCTGGATAGCTACCTGGGATGTAGACGAATTCCAGCGAAGAGAAAATAACTGCTAGGCAATGCAATCTTTGCCTCTGAGCTGGAGGCTTCCCAATGTTTGTGTTACAACAACCGCGAAAAACAACGGAAGGCTTATCTTTAATTTACTCTTCAAACAAACCAGAATTTCTGGTAGAGAACGCCAACATTTCAAGAAGATTCATAGATATAGATAAAAAGGACAACAAAAAAATGACCGCTCTTACTTCAACGTACGCTGAAGGAATGTATCCTATTTCGTTACTGGACAAATTTTGAGCGGCCCACCATCCTCCATCAGATTTGTTCGTGACTAAAAATTTCTCGCCTTTGTTAAAACTAAGCAAGCTTTCGCCACAATCATCACAGAAGTCATACTTTGCTTCGTAAATTTCCATGATTCAGCCGTTTGTTCTCGAGCCGTGACTACATGGAACGTTTTTGTTTTTCTATCGTCGCCGATGCATGAAATCGACACCAATTTGTCGCGCGATGTCATTCTGATCTTAGCGTGGTGACGTCACTGACTGAGGCCAATCAAGAGCTATTTATTTTTGTGGAAAATTTTAAGTGCATTTTGGTTTGGCATTGTTTTTCTTTTCTTTCTTCTTTCACAGATTTATGACATAAAGGAGTCTCCATTTGCAGTGGAGTATTTATTATTTCAAAGATGATGGTGAGATTTCAGACCTTATTAATTTTCTTTTTTGAAAAGGTCTTACCCGAAGCTTTATGCGCTTACTTCCCGTTTTTTCGGCACGGCAAATTTCCTGTCTTAAGCGCGCTGTACAGGTCCGGTCAGGCAGCCGTTTTTCAGACAACTTCAATTGCAGTTAATAGCTTACCCAGTTCTTCACTCGCTTCCGCTGACTAAGCAGGCTACCATTCCCAAACAAATACGTCAACTGGCGGTACTCTGATGAAGAAAATGCTCTTAAGTATAGAAAAGCCATTTCTGCGAGTGCCCTAAACTAATATGAATATTGAACAATTGGATCTCGAAAGAGCACCTCACTAGACTGCGCAATATTGGCCGAAAAGAAAAAAAAATCTCTGAGGTATTTAAAGGTGAATTCAGGCCTTGACCGCATTTTCTCTCAGATATAACGCTAGTCTTAAAAATAATTTAATGCCAACTTAACGCTACTTTTTAATTTGGTCGATCAGGACGCGCGTCACATGTACGTCGGCTATAATTAAAAACACCTGCATAATAATAAAGGAAATATACTCGAAAATGAATAAAGGAAATATGTACAAATATATATATATATATATATATATATATACATGTATGATAAAGGAAATATAAAGGAAATATAAGAAATATACTCGAGAATGCTTGAAAAGTGAAACTCAAGTTACGTGCAGTTCACACCCTGTGATAAATATTAATTAGGATATTAACTACTCGATGTTCGTATTTTGATTCTTCTTGCGGGATCGTCAAAATACGGCAAACTGGTAAATCTCGGTGATATTACTCACCAAGAACTCTAAAAATATGTACATATTTCCTTAACGCTTACACGGCGACAGCAAATATATCTGTCAAAGTGATTAGGATTTTGTAAGGGCCCCAAGCGTTTATTGGTTCCCTTGAATGTGTCACGGAGTGAAGGCCTGGATACTAGAGATAACGCGCGTGACATTTTTGTTATCATTATACTTTATGATTGACCGACAGGGAGTTTTAAATATCTTTTTATGTAAAGCTACGTAAACCTCAGAAGCTTAGAAGTGTTGAGGTCTAGAGCTGCTGTAGGTGAATTTGTATCGGTATAAGAAGGACCAAGACTCACAAAGAAATAGTTTCTCTGGTTTCAGCCATCCGCGCTATGTCAACCTTGAGTTGGAAAATGATACTACGAATCACCGTTGGAGTTTCCTCTAATTTTCTCTAATGGCTGTGAGGAAGGAGACGATTTGTTCTCGAGATGGCAACCAAAGTGCTGCAGCTCTAATAGTCTCCACATTGCGGCCAAAAAATTATGCGATTAATTCAGCTTTGCAGGCGAAAACGTGTTGTCTTCTTGTTGGGTTTGATTACATTAGTGTCGCTTTTGTCGACTTACTGGATTGAAACTTGGGTTCAACATGACCCTGATTTTCTAAACGACGGTTCGCATTCTAAGGAAATAAAAAATACAGAAGAAAAGGTGAAGCTGATTGAGGTTTTGAGAGTAAAGGGAACTAGTATTGAAGAAAATGCGTTTACGAGAACTGATGGTGATAGTGCAGTCTCCCATACTCCTCTACAGAAACTGCGATATAATGTTACAACAGAGGAAATGGTAGCCAGCAAGATAAGGGAAACAGGATTACTTCAAAGGCTTGAGGAGGTATGTCTTTTTTAACGTTAAGATTAAGGTGAAAAGTTAAATTAATTTCGAAAAGCTGAATATCACATCGGAATGTTTGAACTTTTCGATTTTCCCCACGTGTTACTTCTTTCGGTAGCTGTGAATTTTTAATTAACCACTATCACGTTGAAAAACCATTCATGAATCCATTCATGCAAAGGCCGAACACATTTTGATTCACTAGTGTTGATGTACTAGCATTAAATTATCCCAGCGTTATTTTGATGATATTCTTTTTGTTCATGTACACTACAGTGCTTTTGTGTTCTTTTGTCGTCGGGGAATACCCTTCAAGTGTCTCTCAATTATAGGATTTGATTCACAGTGAAACAATTTAAACTCAAGCTGACATTTTTGGTGAAAAAGTTGTTGAATAATTGAGTGGCATTTTTTCATTTTTCGTAATACTCTCTCTTATGAAGAAGACGCAATAATTACTTCAGATTTAGGCTTCAATATGTTCTGACTCTTACACCGGTTTTTTCAAAATATTTGATTGTTTTTCCTCCTCTGTTTTTTTTTTCACGTTTTACAGCTTACCTTTTATCCCCTGTAAGCGATAGCAGAACTTTGCTGTGTGATTAGAATTGAGATCTCTGACATTTTCAATGATTTCTGCAAATACCTCTTAAAAATTTATGTTAACATTCATATAAGAGCAGCTGAAATTTGACAGCACAGATAAAATTGTGATGCTCTCTAGAAATTGATAATTTTTAAGTTATGAAAGTTTGATAATTGTATTAATTATGTACTTACTTTCTTTTTAGCTTGTTTCCTTTGAATTAAGTTCAATTTGCAAATTACATTTTGAATTACTAAAAAGGATTAAAAAAAATCACAGGTTGTAATTCTATTTTCAATTAAGGTTGCTTTTCTTTCGGAGTACCTTACTTGGATATGGTAAAGAAATAATTCTATGGAACAAAATGAGAAAAGCAAGCTGGACATGATCTTCACTATAAACCCATAACACTCTGAAAGTAAAGAATTAATTTGATTCAAAATGTTTGCTTTGCTGTTAATTGTTAGTGAGCCTGCACTGCTATTTATTTGTCAGATCTATGACTGGAAGCATAGAGTCATTTTTTTTTTTGGATATCCACGCTTCTGATGACCTAAGGTAGAATTGCATTTGTAAAGAAGTTTCCAACTGCTGAGGAAAATCATTTAGTGCATTCTTTCCCCATTAAGAATATTAATTTGGCTGTAATAATTTTTCATCAATTTGATTGTTTTACTGTTGAGAAAAAAAAGCTTTTAATGAAAGATTCAAAATGTTGATTGCTTATTTATGCCTGTACTTTGATGCATCATCTAATTGGCAAGTCAATCTCATCCTGTGAGATCATCTTTTGATGAAAATCTAAAGTAAAATTGCAATTAGAAAAGGCAAAAACTATAGTTAACCACTGAAACAGAAGGAAACTTATTGAAAAAGAATAAACTTATATTTTGCTCAATGATGCCTAGTTTTTTCCTACTCTGTTTTTACTTCAATTTTGTGTAAAGGAACCCAGCTGCCAGCTGAAAGAAACTGAGGAAGATTGCAAATACTAAGTGTCATTATTATTGGAATGTTCATTGTATTTTATTCCAGTTCAACACAGAATGCCAGCATTTACTTTTACTTTGAAAAGTTTAATTTTATTTAACTGGTGATGTTTTTTTTCATTCTTGCAGTTAGAAGAAAAGATGATGAGAAGGCAGTTGGATGTTTTGGTGGCTAACCACTCCCAATCAAATACAAAGGATATTTTAGAACCTTTCAAGCATGCTCTTGAGGCTCTTGGCTACAGAGTGGTTTTGTCCACAGATACAGAAATACTTCCTTACATGAGAAAGAAATGGCAGGGAATTCATTGGTGTTCTGGCAGAGAGACATCACCTTGTTTTAATAGCAGTGATCTTGTCTTTCTCCAAAAGAATCAGAGAGTAAGAATGTGTTGTTATCAACAAATCAGAGATCATCAGAGGCTTGTAGATCACATTTGATCCTACAGTAAAATTTGAGATTTTTAGAAATTCCCAATCTGAGACTAAGTGCAGATATTTGCAAGTAGAAAATTAAGCTCCAGATGTGCCAGAATAATAAGAACTCAGAAACTGATGATTGACAAGAGCTCAGGTACTTTCCTCGTAGTTAGATTTTTAATGGGTCTTCCACCCAAGCAATCTTAAACATTATTTGATGTGGGTTACTCTAAATTTTTCCCTGTGCTAAAAGTTTTTTTAATCTAAATTCTTGCTTGATGGTATCTGTAAGTTTTTTTCATTAATTTCAGGTATCTCCAGTTCCAGGCATTGAAAAATTACTTTTAAGGAATGATGGCTTTTGTTACTTGATGTCAGCATCAAAACTCATCTCAGGTACATGCAGAAAAGTCATAAGGTGTCAGAATATTAACAATTCTTAAAAGCAAAAACCTGTAGTACTGAAATATTTCATATTAATTGGCTCAAATTATATATACATATATACATTTTTTTAAAAAAAGCATTAAATTGAGGAGAAAAGGGCTGATTTGCTTTTATTTTATTATAGTGTTTGAAAACAGACCTATATCACCTCCATGCTTTGTGTTACCAGCGCAAATCAATGTGTCTCTGGATCAAGATATTAAAGCAAGAGGAAGCCAGTATTTTATTTTGAAGTCTCTTGGAACAATTTCTACATCACTTCATAACTGGAAAGCTATGAAGAGTCTGAGTGATAAGAAAAGGTATGGCTGTATAATTTTGTTAAGGAGGGGATTGGGGTAGCCTGGGTTGGGAAGGGATAGTTAAGATGTCAAACTTATGCTGGGGGAACATGTACTTGGCACATACTAAATGTCAGGAACAAGTAAGGAAATTTTCAGTCCCAGAGATTAATTGTGACTTTTTTCCTTGATAAAGGCTGTTTGGTCAAGTCCTTCCCCTTAGCAACAGCATCCTGTTGATAAGTAGCATTCATTGTGAATGCAGTAAATATTGTATATAATGTGTTGAAAGGTACATGTATTCTTTTAATTCTCTTAATTTGTTATTAATACCATTAAAGGTTAATATGTAGGTATAACTCCTGGCAGGCAATGAAGCAGTCATTTTTGAGAGACATGCATTTGG